TCCATTATGAAATTTAAATGTAATCTATAAATTATCTGTATATTTTAAATATAGGGCCAAATAAGGATAAACATATAACATACTAAACTGTTAAGTTCTTCAAATCAAGAGATCACAGTAGAGTTTTGTTACCTATAAGGGAGAGAACATTTTACACACTGTCAACATTTCTCCATAAGTAAAATACTTTTGAAGTGTTTAAATTTATCTCACACATATTTCACAGTTATAAACTTCTTCATTTTAATCACTTGAGCAGATTAATTTTCATTCATCTTAATATTTGTAAAACATTTTACAAATATATTTCTCCCTTTACTGAAGGTATGCAGTAGTCATCATGTACATTTTAGAGTCCGGAAGTCCTGAAAGTTATTTGAAATAGCTAAACTTTACTTTTTAAAAATCAAAATGTGCTATTATATTTTATAAAATTTTGATGCTTCTTCCCTGTTTTTTAACCTTGAATGTCTCAAATTTGAGGAGTTCTCACTATGAAAATAATAAATATCCACCACTTGTTTTAAAATACTTCTATTATAATACTCAATAATAAAACAAATATTATGGTGATTGAAATTTTCTACATTAAATGCTCATATTAAAATATTAAAGCCACTAATTCTGTTGTATGAAACACAAATAAATAAATTTGTTGAAATCGATATTTTGTTCCATTCTTTTTCAATTGATGTATTAAGGTATCTCTAAGGGAGCAGTACCTAGATTGGTATTTGAACAATATGCTTCTATCATCCTTTTTAAATGTTCAAAGAAGGTGTAGTGTTTCAGGTGAGTGATGCCTGGGAAATGGAAATAGCCCTGTGTTGCTGATGTTTCAATGATTGGAGATCATGATGAACTATGAAGGGGTGGTGTCACTCATTTTACCAGGTTTTTACCAAAAAATCACATATAGAAACGTTTCTATAGAATCTTGAAGTTCAGGACCACTTCATACAACATTCATTCACAGAAGCACCACTTCATGTGAGTTGCAATGCATGGCGTGAACTTGAACTTGGGGTTCAAATGGTCAATCATTTACTGTTGTATATTAAAGTCTTAAGAAAAATCAGAATATGTGTGGTATCTGCATTCTAGAATACTATAGATACTTGTATAGTATCTGAATTTTAAAATAATATGGATACAATGCAACAGATATAATTACTTTTAAAATGAAGTACGGTGAAAATAAAAACAATTAGCATTTTGACCTTGGGACACTTGAGATACAAAGTAGGGACAAAAGTACTTTTTACTAAGGGGAAGATAAAAACTGAAGTCAAATGTGAGATCATTCTTGAAGGAAAATTAATTCTTTAAAAATCAATCAAGGACAATAGAGGAAAGGCCCCCCACCCCACCCCACCCCCGCCCACCACCCAAAGGGCAATCTGAAAGTCAAAGGAATTTTCCACGTTCAAGTCCCTGAAAGCAGTTTTATCTTTCTGTGTTAGAACTGGGGGAATAGTGAGCTACAACTGTAGTGACTGTAGTTCGACCTGGAGGACAAGCTCACCACCTGACCCTTGGGACACAAAGGTAAGGCTGCCTGTGCCAAGAAAGACTGACAGTCTCGGAAACTCAAAGGGGCAGTTCTGCTCTGTCCTATGTGATCGCTCTGTTGAATTGACTCAGTGGCAGTGGCTGAATTATACCTTGAGCTGAAATCAATACAGTGAGAACACTTACAGGCAGCTCCAATTTATGACGGAGTGCTATTCTGAAGGCTACACCCTCTGTCTGTTATAAAGTGTCAAATACCTCTCTCATTTATTTATTTTTAAAATTTCCATTGTTGATCACATTTTATTATCGGTACCATTATAAATTGATATTTGGGGATTAGTAACATCTGCAAGTGATATCTAAGAAGAATAATATCATAGATTTCACACTGATACATTGTATGTAGTACATATTAATAATATTTTTCTGCCTACAAGTTGTTTCAAATAGATATTTTCAAAGGAATAAATTTTATGTTTGTGCTCAAGGAAGAAAAAACCAACATGTACAATGAAGGGAATAAAAGGGGGAGTGTCATTTTGGGGCCACACAGGGAAGCACATGGTCTGGTCTATTCCAAAATAGGTTTTCATATTTTAACAATTTAAAAAAATGGACAAAGGAGAAAATGGATTGTCTTGCATTTATTTAAATCTAGGTAGAGAGGACCACCGGCTAGTTCAGCACTCGTATTTTATTGTTGAGCGAGACCATTGCATATTCGTTTCACTGCTATGAACAGATTTGATATCTCCAGGATACCAACTCAGGTAATACTATGATACTTGTCAAAATACTTCAAACAGTAATGTATATTCCTGGAGAGAATATATTCTTCATAAATTTTTATTTAAAGAATTTCAACCCTTATTGAATTATTGAATTCACGATAAATTTAAAGACCTGAACTAGGTATATCAAAAGGCCAAGTGAAATACCCTGTTTTGCTCTAAATAAAAATTTGACAGTCAAGTTATATTTATTAAAATTTCTCAAATTCATAAAAAAATTATGAGCAGATATGTTTTATGTAGGGCAAGTCAGAATAAATGGAAACACGTAGATTGTATTTCCTCATACAAAATTAAGAAATCTTTGGTAAACACAGATTGTGTTGACTTAGGTCATTTTTAGTCCACTGCTTAGAGGACGTGACATAACATGTGATGAGATAGGATAAATAGAAGCATGAACATAATATATTGAATATATATATATATATATATATATATATATATATATAATGTGTATAGCATTTTGGAGTTTGTTTATAAGGTTACTTACACAGTAACCTTATATATATCTTTAAATTTGTATAGCATTTTGGAGTTTGTTTATAAGGTTACTTACACAGAATTCACGTTTCCTTATGCCCAGCATCTGGAGGAAAGGGTGCCTATGAGTTTGTGCCTTCAGGGCGGAACTGGACAGGGAGATGTAAAGAACTCACTAGGTGTTACCAAGAGAACTGGAGAATAAATAGTGTTATTCTAAGGCAGGCCCAAGTAGTCCAAGGATAAACCCTTAGGTATGCTCTTAACTTTAGTGTTAGAAACTTTTCCATCATAAGCCATTGCAGTCAGTGTGCAGTAAGTTAATTAACATTGCTGACAAACCTTTAAGTACTAGAGAACTGCTGTTCAGAGCACTAAGTATAGACTGTATGTTGCTTAAGAGAGTTGTGGGTTCTGAGAACCTTTGGACATCTGAGCTTCCGCTGCTCAGACATTTGTAGAAAGGGGATTGGTAGCAACTGTGAGGGCTAAAGAAAAAAATTTATATATTTGATAGACCTGATTACTGCCTAAGATTGATTTTAAAAGATAAAAAGATAGTTTAATTAAAATGTTTTCAGGTAATACGCAGGTACGTGTTTCATAATGCTAGCTGATTTATACTTCAATTTCTGAAGTGGTCTCAATTCCACCAATGGTGTAATGAAGACAGGACAGATTTATTCCAGAAAAATCTGTACTAAAATCTTGGTCTTTCAGTTTGACAAACAACTCTGAGCCTTGTTTTGTTTTTGTTGTTTTTTCCACTGAGAAAAAAAAAAGAAAGAAAGAAAATGGAGTTGATAGCCCAAAATTTACTCTTGTAAATTATAAATTAATTAGAATTAATGAAAAAGATGGCAGCCTAGACACCAGAAAGATAATGAATGCTTAACAGTTTGTCTATTTACTATTGAAAACCTACAACAGCAGAAAGTAAAGCTTTGAAGAAAAACTCACTTTAAATTTATCTAGCACTTTAGAGCACAAAGTCAGAAATTCAGCTACCCAGATACTAGGTAGCAGAGCCATATTTTGCATGTGGTAGTTAGTTATCCAGTAATTGTCTGTTTTCTGAAAAGTCTGCTGGTCCTTATACTGCTTTGCAAATGAAAACAAATATTCCAGAATCCAGGATGACTATGCAATCTTTTAGTCACCTGTCTTATCCTTTCCAGCCAGGTCATTATTTCCTGCCTCTGCACGCTGAGAAATTCCTTCACAACCTCAACAGGAAAGCCGGTCTGGGCAACACATTTGCTTAAATGACAAGGAAATATTTATAAAATATCCAGACAATAGTTGTGTGATAAATATTACAAACACACTTTACAGATACATTTATATATCGAAACAAAAATACAATTTAAGTTCATATAAAAAGTACTAGTTATACATCTAATATTATAGCCCGATAAGATGGGATCTCAATGTAACCTTCAAATGAAAAATTGGAACTCAAGTCAGTTTTATATTTAAATAGCTTGCTCCTCAAAATATCTTTCAACAGCAGTAGTGTCTCAGAGAGAAAAATAAATATGTCTATTTACATTTGAATTTAATTCTTTGAGCATGTATTTTACTCCAATGCATTACAATTTGTGGATTCTCAAAATGTTATTTTGTTGACATGGGCAAAATGGGAGGATAACTAAGTTTTTAGTGCTTGAAGTGAAAATGACTATGCAGAGTGCGCTGATTATCGGTTCGTAGGATGCAGACAGTAGGATGTAGTGACATGGCAAGGTGCTAAGGAAATTAAGGGTTTGCTTCCTTCATGATATGCTTATAAACTCATTGATTTTTCAGTATGTCTGCTGGAATGTTCTGAATTTGATTTGTGAAAAATTAGCCTGACTATTTAAATGATGATGCTGTCACTAGAAATGTCTTATAAACCACTGCCATTATACTTTTAATGAAGCAAATAAAAACTAAAACTGAATATTGAGCATTCTCCCTAATTGGAGTTTCAATAAAGATTATTGGAAGGGACCTTCCACTGCTCCCATTAAAAAAAAGAAAAGAATCTTAGTGAAATATTCACCATGGTTTTAGAAACTATATCAAAATAGAACTTATTTCATGGGGGAGGGGTAAGGAATCCCACAGCACTTCTTTTTATAACTGTTCAGCTACAAAAATTTTATTGGTATCATTTTATGTTCCCTCTAGAGGATATAATGCACAAAAGCATTGCCACGGAACATATAAAATTACAAATGAAATTTATTGTAAAAAGTAGAAGGTCTTCTAGACTGGTGTCAGTATTTATTTCATTCATAAACCCAAACTGCAGTATAATATATTCATTGTCAGAAAGTTCATGTGTGTAAATTGCCATCCAATGCTATTGACTGATATAAGACAGATATTGAAAAGACAATTTAAATTTACTCTTCCAAACATAAACTGTTCCACAAAAGCACTGTAAAAACTCCTCCGAGGTTTGGGGTTGTGCTTGACATTTATGGTTAACTACATAATTTGGTCGTGTCATAATCCACTGTGTTTGGCAATTTGGCATTAAACGCCTTCAAAGCAGACTGAATTCTTACTACCTCACTAGTAGACAGCTTGAGTCGATGACGAAGCAAGCAAGAGAAAAGATCTAGCAGACGCTGACCAGGTGGCGAGAGTTTATTTACACGGTCTCTTATCTCTAATAGTTGCAAAAGTGCGGAGTCCTGGGATCCCTGAGTATAGGGGTAATCCAGTTGCAAAATCAAGTCTCGAATTGCTTCAGGGTCAAAGTGCATGCTGTAGCCAAACACCTGAATGTTATTGATTTTCATATAGCCCAGGTTCCGAGAAGGGTCAATAAATTCCAAAGGTTCATAGTAAATGCTCTCATTGCCATTCGGACCATTTGACTTGATGCGACTCCTCAGGTAGATGTGCACTGTCTCAAAAAATGTCTTCCACTTGTTCCCCAGAGTCAGTGTCCAGTTATAGCACTGCAGAGGGAGGTCCAGTTTAGTCCGCTCCCAGTCTGGAAAACTGTTTTCATTCACAGGCATAAACCAGCTCTCAGAATGGCTGCCTCCAAAGGGGTTGACGTAGACCGCTAACACTGGCTCCAAGGTGCTGTTCTTAGTTAAGCAGATTTGTAAAGAGAGCCCTAAGATCATGTGGACCAGACTCGACTTGTACTTGTTACTCTTCAAGGTGAGGAGCATGCGCTTGCGCCAAGAGGGGTCGAACCAGCTATTGAGACGCATATCGTTGCTAATAAAAATGGCATGGACTTCTATTCGCCTGTCTGTTTTCTGCAACAGGTATTTCATCTCCAGGTCTTGGAGATCAGTCTCAAAGCCAATGTAGTGATCTGTGGACTCTGCTACCTCCGGCTTGCAGAGCCCTTGGCTCAACATGTAGCCGGTGTTGCAGGAGCCACATCGAGTACGGTTGTCTGGCGCGCAGGTCAGGCAAGCTGAGGCATCGCCCACGGTGCAGGGCAGGAAGGAGGTGCAGGCCACCTGGTCGTTGGGACACGTGCAGGAGTGTGTCTCTTCTGAAAAGCTGCCCAGGAGGCCGTTCTCGTTGCAGTAGAGAAATGATTGGATGCGAGAGAGCCAGTAAGTTGAGGTTCTAGAAATGCAAAACAAAACAAATTCATGTAAGTACAAAGACATCTTTTTTGGTTTAGTTTTTGGTACAGTAATAAAGTAAACCTTAGAGTTGAAAGCTGCACTATCATTTCTTCAGATTGTCTGCAGTCAGCTAGCAAGAGAGATAAAAGATCAATACAGTTTATAACATAAAAAAAATCATATAATATCGTTCAGCAGCATGCAAGATTAGATGCGAATTAGAATACAGCACTTCTGAACAATTTTGGCAGATATTATAGTTCTATTTGGAAATTGACTGTGAATCAGTTATTGTTTTGACATGATTATGTTAACAATAAAAATAAATGTAGTTTTACCATAGAATATTCAGGATAGAACTAGAGACTACAAACAATTATTATTTATTCCCATAAAGCACTCCTAGAGCAGGTAACCTGAATAGAAATGAAAAGAGAAAGACAAAAGAACAACTCTAAATTCCAGGGTTTTAGCAACATTCCAAAATAAGTATCAACTGAGGGAGAAAAGTATTAAAACACGTCTGATTTTATTCTTCCCAGCTACTCCAGAAATTAATCAAAATAATCTCATTAAAGCCACTGCAAGTTAATTTTAAAAAGGCTAAGTACATTATTTTAACATGTTTTTTTTTGCATTATTAGGACTTTTCTTATTTACACCCAGAAGTTGAGCTAATCTTGATGCAATTGTAAGTTCTTACTTTTCCTATTTTCTCTTTTTATTATTTTGCTTTTAGGTTTTGTTGATGTTGTTTTCAGTACTATCTATCTAACATGTAAGTTACAAAATAAGAGTGTTTGTACTAGGTCAATAAAAAGTTGCATATTCTCTTTCATGCTCAGGTTTGCCCTGTGCAACATAGTAAGGGAAAGGATGGAGATGTGAAGCAAAGTGCCGTTATAGGGCAAGAAAACTACTCTGCAGGACTCTGTAAAGGTGAGCACATGACATTTTGCATTTGTCAAATCTATGGCACTGTACAACACAAGAATGCATCTTCATGTCAACTATGCACTTAGTTCACTATAATGTCTCACTACTGAGAAATGTACCATACGGTGGCTGGATGTTAATAAATAGAACAAAAAGACAATGGGTAGGGGCGAGAGGAGATATATCTAAACTCTTTTTTGTTTGTTTTCATTTTTAACAAAAGTAATATCTACCATGTTGTGTTTTTGTTATAGGTAAATGCTATGCAAAATATGTATCCAGAATATTCCATAATATCTGATTTATACTCCAAATGAAAACCATTGTCATAGAGTTAGTTCTGATTCACGGGGACCCTATTTAGTGTTTCCAAGAATATGAATCTCTATGGGAGCAGATAGCTTCATCTTTCTCCCAAAGAGTTGTGGGAAACAGAAAGATTTCTCCCAAGTTGTCTCCCCCAGATATATGCCAAACTTAGCTGCTTACGAATGACTATACACTTGGAGGTCATCAGAAGTAGATCAGGGGTTATTCTCCCTAAGAGCTATCAGCCATCTAGGCCAAGCAGACACCACTGTTCATCCCACAACAAATAGGGCCCACTCCCTTCTGATGAGGATAGTAGTTGTCTGTCTCCTTGTAAGCGATACCAGGGAAGTCAAACCCACCCAAGGATGACCAAGGTTAAGCTGCCATCATGAATCTAGGGTCCGCCCATCTTGTCACATGTATATCCCTAGACCTTCCCATTCCTATGGGCACACCCCTAGCTCATCCCCTTCCTGTCATGCATATGCCTATCATGCATCCCCTTCCTACGATGTGTATGCTCATTGTACTGCCCCTTCCTGTGACGTGTGGTTACCTGTAATTGTGTCCCCCTAATGAGATATAATCCTTGGTTAGCAATACAGTTGGGGCTCTCCTGCTCTAGCTCCTGAGGCTCTCTCCTGCTTTCATGGCCGCGCTCCTCCCACGTGGACCACCAAGTGGGGCTGAGGTGAGCATGCTACTATGAATTGTGTCTGACTCCATTATTCCAATCTCTCCTCTACCTCTCATGCTCTCTATGACTTTACTGTAATCTTTACTTATTATTGCTGTACAATTGCACCTACCGGACCTGTGATGATTTGTTGGGGACTCTCCTCGCCCCACAAGGAGTGGCTAGTGGATTTGAACTGAGACCTTGTAGACAGGAGAACAATACTTATTTATTACAGTCTGTCATCTGTTCTGAGGCAGACATTAAGAGGAAAATGTGATTCTTATACAGCCCTAATATTCTTTTTTATTTTTATCCCTGCTATTCTTGATTTAAGATTTATGAAAAACATAGTTGAACTTTAGACTTTCTACACAATTGTAGTTCTAAAATATTTAGTTGAGACTATATATGTTAGACTATTGATATAATTCAGGTATTAACATTGTTGTACATTTAATAGGGAAAGGGGAGGTAGTAAGGGGGAATGGATCACAGGGAGCCACATATGGCCTCCTCTCTGGGGGACGGGCAGCAGCGGGGTGGGTGAAGGGAGGCGCCGGACAGTGTAATGTAAGATACAAAAATAATTTATAAATTATTAAGGGTGCATGGGGGAAAGGGAAGGG